CGCATTCCTGGGTATAGGGACGACAGAAGAGAGAACGGTCACTGAAGTTGGGCCTTGTGAGACAGCGGGTGACGACAGGAAGGTGGTGGCCACAGGGCCCCGGTTTCTTTGGGAGATAATGACAACGCTCTCAACACTGACCGTCGTGGTGGCCAGGCCTGGGTGTGGACACTGAAATCCACCGAGTCCCACCTTCATAGGGGCGACGCCCACGGTACTCGAGTCGCACTGCCGTCTAGATGTCACCGAGTGACAGGAACCAGCCAGGGGCACGGTGCAGCCCCCAGGCCCTCCCTGCTTCTCGACTTGCCTCCGTCCCATCACCTAGCACCAAGGTCACACCCAGGTCCCCTTAGCTGACACTTCCAAGTGTGTCCCTGACAGTGACTCGTGCCCCTCACTTTGTACCTGTCCCAGCCCACAGGCCGTGACTTGGGGACCCCCACGTTGAGACGGTCAGGAGGTGAACGGACTGCGGGGCTCACTGGACACCGCCGACGGTGACACGTGTGATCACTGGTGACACCATGGACTCCCTGCAGCAGTGGGCGAGGCCACCCGCGGGCAGACGGCTCAGCCCCTGGACGCAGGCTGGGTCTGGTCAGCTAATGGCCCAGGAGGGCTGCCTGCTTCCCCAGGCCAGGCCCAGGGCAGGGGCCAGCGGGGGACTGCAGGTGGCCCCCAGCCAGGTGCCCACCACTGGGCCAGGGCCCCGGGAGTTGCACCAGCACCCACGCCAGGTGACCACCCTGGCCTCCTTGAGGTCCGGGGCCCAGTCCTGGTGGTGGCTGCCCTGTCCACCAGTGGGAACCGCCCCTTGGAACAGGGAGAGCAAGGCCTGGGCTCCGAGTGGCCCAGAGGCAACCGGCCAGCTGTCCCTCAGCGGCGCTGCCTGGCTGGACACCCCTGCTGCGTCCCCTCGGGCTGCCCTGTGTCTGACTCACTCAGCAGGAAACGGGCTCCTTCTAGAGAAGGTTCGGGCCCAGGTGACGCCCGCCTGTCACCTCAGGACTTGGGAGGCTGGGGACGGAGGATGGAAAGTTCGAGGCCAGCTGGGAAACTCAGGAGGACCCTGTCTCAAAATAAGGACCACGAAGGGCTGGGGATGTGGCCCGTGGCAGGGACCACAGAGACGTGGGGACAGGGAGCAGCAGGTGTGTCCTGGGTCCGAGAGGCACGATGGCTGCTACGGTGCTGCCCGTGTGAGGATGGGTCACTCTCAGCAGGACACTGAGGGACACCACTGCTGACGGACAGGGCACGCAGCTGTGGACACGGACTAGAGATCCCCAGGTGGCCCGGCAGTGACAAAGGTCCCAGAGTGACCCAGACAACCTTGAGCCTTGAGCCTGCTCGTGACGTACTGGCGCTGCTGAGTCCCAGCTTTGGGAACGATCGGCCATCGAGCCCAGGGGACGGCCCACTGAGGAAGCCACCCCCTGCCGGCCGAGGCCCCGCTCACCGTGGCGATGCCCCTGGCCTCCTGGTAGGCCACCCTGACCACGTTGGCAGCGCTCGTGTTGAGGAAGAAGTAGCCGGAGCCCTCCTTGACGTGCAACTCCGCCTGGGGACGAGAGGCCAGGGGCAGCGGTCAGGCAGGGCCAGGGCCCAGGGTCTCCCGGGGGGGGCGGGGCTGGCGGGGGGCCCACCTGGACATCAGGGTGGTTGTAGAGGGTCACCACGTCCGGATCCACACGCACGTCCTCCACCAGGACCAGCTCCACCGAGGCGGACACGGGCGCAGGTGGGCCAGGCTGCAGGGACAGGGCAGGGCCATCAGACCCACAGGCCACCCCGGGGACAGGGGCGGGATGCCAGTCCTGGCCTTGCCCCAGGCCCCCGTGATGTCCAGGACACACACTGGGCCCAGGGCAGCCACCTTCCCATGAGGCCCCAGACCCCAGAGCTGGGAGGAGCCGTTCCCGGTGCCCAGCGGGCAGCTGTCCACCCCCACGGGTGGCTCTGGACATACCAGCGGCTTCACTCTGGCTGCACTGAGGTGGGACAGCTGGTAGCCGGTCACTGTGGCAGAGATGGCGGTGGTCCCCGATGCCTCATGGACAGCAATGGCTTGCAAACCTGGGTCCAGAGGAGGACACCGACGTTGGGCCTCTGTGGTCACCCGCCCCTCCATCATGGGCAGTCCCCAGTGTGAAAGTCGAGGGGGGTCAGGAGTCGCCAGACCCTGAGCGGGGCCTGGGGAGCAGGGCTGGAGGGGACGGGCCAGCTTTGGCTGCTGAGGGGCCTGGGGACACACAGGGGGCACCGGGGACTCCCCACTTGGGACCTCTAGCTCCAGTGCAAGACTGCAGCCCAGGGAGCTGCCCGAGCTTCGGTGCTGGACGAGGGGACCCCAGCTGGCCGAGGGGCGCCCCAGCTGGCAGAGGCTCCGACAGGTGCCACGCTGCTTGGGACACTCATCTGTCGGGGTTTTCCTGGTCCCCAGCCTCCTGTCCAGGGCCCCAGGCCCACAGCCACGGCTCACCGTGGAACTTCCTCTGGCCACTCCCGTCATCCCGGGACACCAGCTGCATGGGCAGGTCCAGCTCGATGCTGGCCAGCGAGGGCCGGGTGGATTCCCACTGGACGCTCAGGGAGCTGAAGTTGTCGAATTGGCGGCCCTGCTGGTCATAGGCGGCCAGGTCCAGCAGGGGGTTGCGGTGGCTGGAGACGGGAACCTACAGGAAACAGAGGTCAGGACACCCAGGCCTGGGCACAGCCACGGCTGACCACATGGTGTATCCTGAAGCTGGCGGGCTGCCTGTGGGGTCCTGATGGGGGAAGGGATGAGCTGAACACCAAACCCTGCAGCTGCTGGCCACCAAGGCACCCTGCACTCCGGAGGCTGAGGCAGGAGGATCGCAAGTTGGAGGCCAGCCTCACCAACTCAGCAAGACCCTGAGCACCTCAGCGAGACCCTGTCTCTAAATAAAGTATCAACAGAGCTGGGGACGGGGATCAGGGGTCAGCACCCCTGGGTTTGATCTCCAGAGCCAAAAAAAGTTGGTACCAAGGAATTAAGGAGCAGAATAGTGGTCAGTAGAGGCCAGGGAGGCAGAGGAGGATGAAGAGCAGAGGCCAAAGCAGTCAGCCAGGAGCAGGGACTTTCCTGTCCCCCACGGCAACACCAGAGTCCAAAGGCTCCTGGCCGGGGCCACGTCCCGGATACCCAGGTGAGCTCAGGGGACGACAGGCGGACAGTCCCACCTGCCCAGCACCTGGACTGTGCTCTGCTAGTCCCCGGCCACCTCTCCAGGCCTGCCTCCTCCCTCAGCCCCTCCCCCACGCACCACCTGCTTGTCGTGCTGCAGCCGTGGACAGGACGGGTCCAGCGGGGGGCCGGCGTGGACGGGCGTGAGGCTGATCCTGGACGGCGGGGCGCAGACGACCTTCACCACGGCGGGCTCCACGGCCGGGAAAGGGTTGGTGAGGCTGGGCTGGTTCCCCACGGAGAGGGCGATGACCTGGGGGGCGGGGGACGGCAGTCAGGGCGTGTCCCCTCCTGTGCTCTGCTCTGCAGGACGGCTGTGATGTAGATGCCCGTGCCCAGCGGCTGCCAAGGGCCGGGGACCCAGGGGGCACGGCTGCACCTTCTCAGTGCTGGGCGCTGTGGACGCTGTGGATCCCAGGGCCTCTATAGGGGACCCGAGGAGACCGGGGCACTGTGGCCTCCGGGACCCAGGAGCCCCCAGGCTGCCCCAGCACATGCAGATGTCCCCAACATGTGAGGAGGGGACACGCTCACTGCTCACAGGCCCCATTCTAGGGGTGGGTCAGAGGGGCTTCCCAGGACACAGGAGGGTGCAGAGGGTCAGCCTGCAGGGTCCGGCTGCCCACTCACTGCCCGAGAGGGATCTCGGGGGCCAGATCTGGCCCGTGTATATGCCCTGCGGGATGGGCACCCAGGCCACCGCAATGCCACACCCCTCTGCAGACGGCTGGGGTCTGGTCCAGGCGCCCCGCAGGGCCACCAGGCAGGAGGGGGCGGGTCCCCTGGACTCCCTTCTCCGTGCACTAATCTGGTCACACCAGCGCAGTCCTGGGCATCCTGAGAGCTGCCCGTGGGACTCTGGACTCCACCGGTGCCCTCTGTACTATTAAATGTGCAAGGGACACCCCCCGCCTCTCTGGGTCCACTCTGACCTCCTGCTCACTTTCTGTGCCCTCTTTGGGGAACCCTGGCAACAGAGCGGTGGACCCCACAGGAAGACAAAGGGCGCAGAGCCCGTAGCTTCCGCCTGCCTGAGGGCGCGGGTACCAGGCACCAGAGGACCTGCACCTCGCCACCCGCCAGGCCAGCCCAGGGGCTCAGGCCACACGTCCACTCAGTCTTCGGATATTTCTCGATTTTCACATTAAAAAATAAATAAATAAATATGAAGAGCCAGGCACCCACGTGACCCACGCCTGTCATCCCAGCTACTCAGGAGGCCGAGGCAGGAGGATCGCAAGGAGGAGGCCAGCCTCAGCAACAGCGAGCCCCTGAGCAGCTCAGCGAGACCCTGTCTCTAAATAAAATTCAAGACAAGGCTGGGACGGGGCTCAGTGGGCGAGGGCCCCTGGGGTCACTCCCCAGTGTCCCCCCCCAACAGGGATCCCGGGGGCAGGAACACAGGCTGTGCCGCGTGCTGAGCCCCAGGTGACCCACCTGGTCTACGGCCTCCTCACTCATGAGGCCCAACTCTGGGGCCGTCGGGTTTTCTGCCCTGACCCCTGTCCAGCCAGGTGGGGGATTCTGCGGCCCTGAGAGGGACCCCAGGGGCTGGCTCCTGGACAGCTGGTGGCCTCGGTCCCCGCTCAGCCTGCCCGGGGCACACCGTCGTGCCCTCACCTGGCCTTCACTTCCCGTCTGCGACGTGGGCACAGCAGGACCAGAGCCCCCAGGGTCACCCAATCTCTGCGAGGTCCCCCACCTGGAGGCCCTGAGCAGCGGCCACTCACCTGCTCGCCCAGGGCCCGGCAGGTGGCGCGGATGCTGTGCTGCTGGTGACTCCGGGAGGCGGGCGGGCCCAGGAGGGCCAGGCTGATGCTGTCCCCGTCCTCAGAGGTGAGGTTCCGGAAGAACCTGGCAGGCTCCAGGACCCAGGGCCGGGGGCCTCCTTCAAACAGCATGTCCTTTGAGGAGCCCAGGGTGACCACAGCTACGGAGGACGGGTCCACGGCCTGGGAGGGAGAGCGGGGCCTCAGCCTTCCCCGGGCAGGGCAGGGGACAGGCGGGGCAGGGCAGGGGACAGGCGGGGCAGGGCCTCAGGGCTGCGTCCTCGCCCTCTCTGTGGGGACAGCCCAGCGCCCGAGTCCTCTGTGCACCCCTCCATGTCTGGGAGACCCCAGGACGCAGTGGGCTCTGGAGAGAACCCAGCCTCGCTCCCCCCTGGCCTCTGGGGGACCCTCTGCTCGGCCTCCATTGGGACACCTGTGGGAAGAGCCCCAGGGAGCCGTGGGCACGGTGGCCGAGGGCAGCCGGCTCACCCTGAGGGGCAGGTAGGCGGCGATGGTGAGGCTGGCGCTCAGGTGGACGTGGCCATGCGTGTAGCTCACCAGGAGCGTGGTGGAGCCCCGGGCCTCGGCCTTCACCCGGACGCCACCACAGTGCTCGGGCCCCGGGGGCAGCCGCCCTGTGCCAAGGAGAGAACCCAGGTCACCACGGGAATCTGGGGGGGCACATGGCCAGCTCAGGGCCCCTCCACCTGGCTGGACACACAGCCGATGCCAACTTAAGGACCTGGGGGCTGGGGTGTGACTCAGTGCCTGACACCCGACCCCAAAAACAGACAAAGAATCAAACGAGTCACCCACCCACCCAAGACGTCTTAAGGGAATGACTCACGGTCTTGTCTTTACCCCACAGACCTAAGATGGCCTGTGGCTAAGACTCAGGTCAAGAAGCATAAGACAGCAGGGCGGTGGCCCACGCCTGTCATCCCAGGGGCTGGGGAGGCTGAGGCAGGAGGATCGCAGGTTGGAGGCCAGCCTCAGCCCCTCAGCGAGGCCCTAAGCAGCTATGTGAGTCCACGTCTCTAAATAAAGTATAAACTAGGGCTGGGACTGGGGCTTAGGGGTCCAGTACCCTGAGTCCAATGCCGGTACCCACCACCCCACAAAAATGACATTTCACTATGGGCACGAGGGTCCTTTTCTAGGTCGGGTGTTCTACCCCGCGGGCCTCTTTAGAGGCTTTAGCCTGGCCAGGACCACCATCACGATCTTCGGCCTGCAGCTCCACAGCCTGGAAACAGCAGTCACCAGCCCGCCATTTTCCCAAGAGGGCTTGGCCCACTCGGGTCCTGGACGGTCCACGTTCCTGCCCCTCCGCTCGGTTCACTTTGGTCCTTTGGCTCCTCTTTGGGACCTCGGGGGTTTTCTCCATGGACGATGATGTCCCCGGAAAAAGACTCTCATGGATCTGTTTATCTCTGTAGCAATGACGTCCTGTGGCTCACTCCTGATTTTAGCAACGAGTCCTTTATCTGAGACGATCTAGCCAAAGGGGTCTCAGTTTTATTGATCCTTCAAAAGAACCAACGTTTGGTTTCATTGATTTTCTCTTGTGTTTTTTTTTTTTTTTTTTTTGGGGGTGGCTGGGGGGGGTAACCTGGGGGGCCCTATTTTGTATTTTATGAGAGTCAGGGTCTCACTGAGATCTGTAAGGTCTTGCCATTGCTGAGGCTGGCCTCCAACTCACGATCCTCCTGCCTCAGCCTCCTGAGCCGCCGGGATGAGAGGCATGGGCCCTGGCGGCCGGCTCTCCTCTGATCTGATCTGAGTGATTTTCTTGTGTGAGACGGCACTGGGTTTAGCCTGTTCTTTTTCTGTTTCTGTAAGTACTGAACTTAGGTTGCTGAGTCGAGCTCTTGGTCTTTTTGACTAAGCAGCCGCAGCTCTGCGCCCCCTGGAACCCAATGCTCTTGCCACATTTCCAAGTTTCGGTCCCTGTTTTATTTTCGTTTGTCCCAAGGACTCTCTGCTCCCCCGTCATTCACTGGCTGATCCACTGTCCTCACAAGCGCTGGTCAGTTTGAACCACCGTGTGAACAAGCCGGTTTTCCTTCTGTCCCGGATTCCCTACGGTGGCCTGCTGTGGCCGAGGGGACACTGGAGGGTGCAGTCACACTGAGATGTGGAACAAAGAGGCCCGGTGACAGCCGACAGCCGACACAGAGACCTCAGAGGGGCAGGCGCTGCAGGCCCTGCGTTTTTTCTCTACACCCCCATCAATGTCATTCTCAGTGTGACAGTGTGACAGTGGCATCTATCACCAAGAGTGACTGAACAGGACGAATTAACACATCAATCCCCCAGGAGCGCCCTTCTGATCTCCCTTCTGTGGCGTCTAACAGTGGAACTTCTAGAAAGGGGCAGCAGGACAATGGTGCTCAGGGACAGGGCGTGGGAGGGACGGGGCGGGCAGGGGTGTCCCTAGTCACAGGGAACAAAGGGTCAGACAGAGGGGAGACAGCTGTGGCAGCTGCGGCGGCACAGCAGGTGTCCATGTGTGTTTCCAAGTCTCCCTGCATCTGAAGTGGTCAGCCAGGGCCCTGAGCTCACGGTGGGGGACAAGCTCAGAAGGGAAGCAGGCAGGACTTAGAGGCCTCTCAAGGTCACCAAGGGCAACACTGGTTAAAAGTGCTTCTTTCTTTGGTGCCAGGGACTGAACCCAGGGGCGCTAACCCCTGAGCCCCATCCCCAGCCCTATTCTGTATTTTATTTAGAGACAGGGTCTCGCTGAGCTGCTTAGGGCCTTGCTGAGTGGCTGAGGCTGGCCTCCAACTTGCGATCCTCCTGCCTCAGCCTCCCGAGCTGTCGGGATGACAGGCGTGGGTCACCACACAGTTAAGAGCTTCTGAAGAAACAAGGCTGAGGGACACACGCACAGAGCAGGACACATCCCTGTGTTGAGTGACTGTGAAGTCACTTTCTGTCGTTGACAAAACTTACCCAGTTTAAGAAACTCTGCCACAGCAGGCGGAGGGACCGGGGACGGGTCCCACAGATCCCTGTGAATGTCTCTGCACTGACCAGCCGTCCCTGCCTAAGACACCTATTCCTTAAGCCAACTGAGTCCAAGGCCACACAAAGTCCTGCGCGCACTCAGTGGGGAGCCTACAGGCACTTTCTGAGGGAAATCCTGACCCCAGGACTCCTGTCTCCACAGAATCCCCCTAAAGACGCGAGCGTCCTGGGGTGACAGCCAGGCCTGGAGACACGGCCACGGCTGGCAGCAGTGGCCAGGGCCTCGGCCCAGGAGGCTGAGACAGACTGCAGCTGAGGGGGACGGGGCCATGGCCACCCCACGCTGGCGCTCTGCGGCCTCGGCCCCACCCTCAGGCAGGCTGCCTCACCTGGGAGGGGCTGGAACACGCCCCGCCCACCGGCTGCCTCACTTGGGAGGGGCTGGAGCACGCCCCGCCCCGCCCCGCCCCGCCCCGCCCACCAGGTGCCTCATCTGGGAGGGGCTGGAGCATGCCCCGCCCACCCTGCCCCACCCCACCCCACCTCACCCTGCCCACCGGCTGCCCCACCTGGGAGGGGCTGGAGCACGCCCCGCCCC